TTTTGGTTTTTTTAAAGCTAATATACCACTAGGGAGCATATCTAGTGGCTTTTATTTTAATAAAAAGAACCTCAAAAGAATAAGTGTTTACCTCGAAAATACGAGTAACAATTAAATTTGATTTGTGATTTTAAAGATACGTGATTTAGTTCAATACCAATTAATAATCAAGAAGTATGAAGTGGAAATGAAAGAAGTAAGTGAATCAAACCAGTGTTGTTTAGCAGTATCGACCTCGAGCTCAGTGACCTCGAGATGAATCAAGAATAATAAAGTAAGAACAATAAAGCAAAAGGACAGCTCAATAAGCGAGAAAAGTAGGATAGTATATTTTTCTGCCAATGATTAGATGATGTTACAAATGATTGGGGTCCCCTTTATATAATAGGGAAACCCTAAATAAGGTACATTTCCATTTTCAGTAAGGAATATTATTGGGACAGCTGTCTAACCGTCTACTACGGAATTGTACAATCCTATTCCAGGATTTGCGCCATGATCTTGGGAACGTGGCAGGAATCTTGTTCATTGTGTTACAAATTTATAACGGTATTATTCGGGGTCGAGTATACTAGGTTTCGGTGTTCCTCGTACTCCTATCTTCGGGCATTGTATTCTGTCTTCGAGCTCGAGTCTGGTCCGTCGACCTCGAATTCGAGCTTACCCGAATTCGGACCTAAAGCGATCCCTCGAGCATGGGAAATCGAGCGTGCCTGATTTCGACCGTATACAATAAGTACAAGTAAGGGGGCTAGGCCTGACCCTACTAACCCTTATGAGGTCAAGTACCTCTACTATTAACAAGCATGTAAAAAATACGAACTAGAAATAATCAAATAAGCTATGATCATCATAGAGTTTATAACATACTCTATGATGATATTACAAATGATAATACTAAAGAAATGATAAAATACAATAAAAAAATTTGAGCCAGGCTCATCTTTTGGGTGAAGTTTTCTACAATTTGAAGCCCTTTAACGATTGCCAAATTCTTCTTGTCATCCTCTTCAAACCTACTCAATATCGACTGTAAGTTCAAAAATGTATATAATCTTGATAGAGAAGCCTGCTTTGCAACTCTCATAGGGAGAGTTCTTCTGGTAATAATGCTATCCCAGCTTTTCTTCCTTCGATGTGTCTTCTTTTTCTTTCCACCATGCATGGGAGTGAGGTCTCTCCATCCCTAGAGACTCTCTCCATTCCTGCTGCAATAGCTTCATCATCATCCATATCAATGTCCTCTCCCAATTTTTCATTTTCTATTGCATTAGCTATTTCTTGGTCAACAATTCCACCAGGTTCATGTCTCTTTACAACCAATCCAATAGGCTTGATTTTAGAGGCTTGAAATTGAGCAGTCTTCTTGAACTTGTTCCCATTAAATTGCAGACCTTGTGCATTTGTCTTTGCACCAACTGAGAGTGTATTTTTACTCAAGTTTGGAGTCACCAGGGCATCCAAAAGAGCCCTATCTTGAGCAGAAGTTATGGCCTTACTTGAGGGCACAAAAACAGGTGCTTGAGGACTTGCTCCTAGGAGGAGATCTACGTTACCAAATTAGCCCACCTAGGAGCACTAGTAGTTATTTTTCCTTAGAACCAAACAAAACATTTGTGGAATTAGCTTCTGATAGTGAAGTCATACCTTTCTCTAAGTTAAGATCATTCCCTATAGATAATAACATTTGCCTGGAATCACCTTCATGCTCACCAAATGACTCCATAGATTGAGAAGGAACCTCCTGAACCGATGTATTCAATGTAACCAAAGGTGGTTTGATATTTGTGGTCGAATTCATCATCATAGCTGCATGGGTTTCATGTATTATTTTTGCAACTTTTGGATTGGAAAAATGCAAAACTGGACATGTTACATTATGCTCTTGACTTTTCGAGAGAGAAGCAAACACATTTGTGCAATTTTTCGCTGCCTTCAAACGTGCATCCGAACTACTACTTTGAACTAGTTGAAGCTTGTTTTGTTGTTTATTGTTACTACCAGGGAACCCTTTTTTTGCTTTGTACTACAGTCCATTCCCCTCCTGGTACTCCCTTTGTCTCTCTAGTAACTTTTGAATCAACTCCACCCTTAGTTTTTCCAGTCAGCTGGACTTCAACAACCATCTGCCCAACACTTGATGCATCGTTCCCTCCCACAGCTTCAAGATGAATAGCTTATGCTCCTGTTTTACCTGATGCAACAATAGCTTCATTATTTTTTGTAACTCCATTACCATTATTTGCAGCTTCAACTTATGTACCAAATACATTAGTAGGATAAATTGTTGATGTCGTAGTAGGATTTTCTACCACTTGTTGAGGATGTCCAGCTTCCTCATTCACTTTTAAAGCTGGTACCAGTTGTTTATCATTATTTATTGCATCCATTGTATCACCACCAGCCTCATCTTCTATTTTATCTTATGCACAATGACACAATCACCAATAGTTCCATGGATTGTAGGAGGTTGATTCCTATTAGAGATAGGAGATGGGGAATCAACAGTAGTCATAGGGTTTCCTTTGATGACTAAGGCTGCCTCCTTCTCGTCTAGTTCCTCACATCCTTTCCTACTCAACATAGGATTGGAATTATCCTTTTCCATTGCTGAAACAGTTTCCTATGTGTGTGAAGCTATTGTTAGATCAACTGGGACTTCTAACTGCTTAGAAATCTCCATTCTTTGCTACTTTTTAGCATTCAAGAATTCCCTCGCATCCCCTTGTAACGTTTCAACCAGCATTCCTTCATTCATGGCTGCTTCTTCCTCACGTTGCATGACTGTTTCTTCCTCATATTGCATACTCCATACTGCCTTTCTATTCAATAATCGACAAGTTTTTTCATCATGTCCTTGATGTTTGCAATGGCTTCAATATAATGGCAAATTATCATAGACAAAATCTTGGAAAACTTCCACAGTCTTCCACGTGTGTTTGTCCACAAATTGCAGTCTCAACTTATCAGGTAGCTGGTATATTAAATCAAGGATCACCTACTCTAGCAGTACTTGGACGTGAATTGATCTGAGTAGCTTTATCAATGGCTATGGGTTTGCCAACAACTGATGCTATGGACAACAAAGTTTTCTTGGCAAACAACTCCGGAGGCAGATTTGGCAAAGAAATCCAAACTACTGCCTTCGTTGTTTCCTCCTTTCTGTAATACTGCTTTCGTCGTTTTATAATGTATTGTATTGTATAGTATTGTATCGTTTTATGAATATAATGTTTGGATAGATTGTATTGTTTGTTATCGTTAAATAATATTTTGCTGTTTGGTTTAAATATATCGTATTGTACTGTAACTTATAAGCTTACTAAAATAAGCTCAACTGTTTAAATATTAAATTTATCAAAAAATATGCATAAAAATAATTTTAAAAAATAAAACAGAAGAAGGCGGCAAAAGTTCTGGAAAAATACAAAGTAGGTTATAGGTTAGAGATTTGGAGTTAAAATAAAAAAAAAGGTAAAGAGTAAAATAGAATTGTGGAGTAATAAGTTAGGGCATAATTGAAAAAAATATTAGGAAACAATCTGACCCCACCAAATGGGTTGTTTCAAAAAAAAAAAAGACTTTTCATTGTTCCGGAACAATGGATTTAACAATACAATACAATCAATTTTAATGAAACAATCAAAACAAACATTGTTTTGGAATAACAATACAGTACGATACAACGTAGGACAACCATCCAAACATGCTTATAAAACCAATAGACCATGGGAATACCCTAATTTGATGCTCCTTTCCATTGTGATTGAATTAGTTGACTGACCTTGCTAATGAATTAACAAAATCTTCCTGTTGATCAACCCTAATGAGCAATTGTCTAGGGGCCAGTTGCCCGATCAAACACTACCCTTTGATGCCAAAAACATTCGGTAGTAGGGTTCTCAATATTGATAAGTCCGATGTATTTGAGGATAATTTCACTACAATAGATTGATGTTGGCCCTCCTCCTTTGCAAATTCCACACGTTCATCCATTGTAAATTGAATTGTTGGTACACCATGGATAACTTCAATAGGTTTTAGGTGTGTTTGGTTCAAAGTAGTGGCTGTTTTGATTTGGTGTAAGCGTGCAACATATGTAGGTTGTTTGCTAGGGTTTTGGGTGTCTCTTCAAGGGTAAAATCAATCCTTGTGGTTACCAAAAGGGGCTATATTTACCCTTATTGACTAACAACATAAGTTTTCCAACACCCGGGTCTTTTTTCAAGGAAGATTGATCAATTTAACCTTGCATTATGCAAAATGATCCAGATTTGCCCCGGATAATTATTCACTTCTCATAGTCTAACAAATGGAAAAACAAATTGAAGAATTTCTGTGAAATATGTTGATACTAAAACAGTGGAAATGACATCAGCAAGTCACTCTTAAGCATGTTGTTTAAAATATATTTACAGCTTACAATATATTTAAAGATTAGCTCAAATTTTAGGACACGGCGTCCTAGAGTGTAAACCTCAAAATTCAAACTTCAGGACATCGTGTCCTAAAGTTCGAAAATTGTGTCCTGAAGTTCGAATCTGATGTCCTGGATTTTAAATTAGTGGTTAAGAAATTCAGCACACTTAGTCCTGAATTTCAAATTAGCAACTCAAAAATTCAAGACATGAATTTTCAAATTCTAGATACTTTCTTGAAGTTTTGATGAATTGACTAATCTTTAAATACGTTATAAACCGTGGATATATTTTAAATAGCAGACTTAAAAGTGGCTATTAGTACACTTCGCCCACTGAGACACTACTAATTGGTACCTTGTTAACTCCTCGAGCTTTGTGTACGAACTTGACCATGTTCTTTTCCCTTGAATCAATTGTAGACATTATGAGTTATTGGGTAAATTTATCATATTGTATCGCCTGAAATCACAAGTTTGTGTCGAACTACTTTTAACTGTCTGTTTTCCATTTATTGCTCCTTGCTCAAAAGCAGAAAAAGGTCGCCAAGATTGACAAATATATAGACATGAAATGTAAAGATGACAAAACCAAATTACTAGCCATATACAATAGGAATATGAGGCCCGTTGATACTCATATCTTGAGGCAAGTTACATCCTTCATGCAGAAACCATCCTTCATTCATTTCCTTTCTGTTCTTTCTACAACACTCCTCAACCTCACCTTTTTTCAAAAGCAACAGGGGTAACTTCAATGGAGCAAGAAGGATGAAACAAAACAATTTAGAAATTGCCAGCATCAGCACCTAGAACTGGTGAGTATGTATATGTTTGGAACGGAAAGAAGGATTGGATAAGCTTTTAGCTTTGGAATATACTTGATGAATAATCAAAAGCAACATTGATTCAGTTGAGACCCTCCTGTTTGCCGATAGATTGAGGTGATATTGTCTATTCCAGTACCTTGAACTCAGATAGAGGTGTCAGCACCAATCAGGACAAGCGATATAATCATCATCTTTGCAAAACATTGAGAAGCTAGTGACCCGTGAAAACTATGGTCTTTCCGAGGATGAACGTTACCACTGTCAATTCAATGAAGAAGATTGTGTTGATGAGACCTCTATCAACTGTCCATCCAAATATGGTAATTCCCCCAGGATTGTTCTGCAAATACATCACTGCATAACCAATAATACATAAATAAACTGAGTTTAAATGCATGACACTAAATGCCATAGAACCAAAAGAGACAACATACAACTACACCAGCAACTACTTCTCAGTCACAAACTAGTAATATGTTGGGCTCTTCAATACCCATTTCACTCCATTTGGGCTCGCTTCATTCCATTTCCATGGAAAAGGAAGAAAACAAAATTAAAAAATGATAGCACTCAGATAAGGAAGAAAAGAGATTCATCAGATAGAAGTGCAGTATGTTGCTATGACTTTGAAGGCAGGGGAACCGTCTTTTCTATCTTTTTCATAAGCGCACCGACAAGTAGAGATTTGGGTAATGGGTGACATTTGAGCAAATTGTGTCTGAAGACTGACCTGCTGGAGACAACCGTTTACAGTGAGGTAACTAAAGCATATCAATTCGAATAATAAGAGAATCATTTTAGTTTGGAGAAACATAACGTTACTTAGATCAACCTGGGAACAGATAATTAAGTTTGCCAGAACTTCAAATAATTGCACACAGCTTTTGTTAACAGGACTAGGAAATCGTTGTTTTAGCTTCACGAGGTAAAGTCATTGCAGCCGTGTAACATGGACAGCATAGGAAGATGATAAGTGCATTCAATTGTTTTGGCATGATAACGAGCAAAAACACAATATGTGTCCAACTGCACGATTCATAGAATTTCTTGTTTGTTTAGTGAAGCCCATAATTCCAATTCAGAAGGAACCATCAAACAGAGTAAATATTTATTTTCAGAAGCTTGTGTGAGGTGTACCTTGCATGAATATATGTGATCTATGGTGTACAAACAAAAGCGAATCCTGGCTCTTTTCTAACTGAGGTGTCAACATAGTCTTACATACCTAGGGCTTGTCTCTTTTGGTACGAGGACATGTAAGAAGCCAATTGCGTATTTGTCGGTTCAGTTACAAAATCTAGAGACTCCAAATCGCTCTCTGAGAAGTTCATATAGAATGAGCTAGACCGGTTAACCTCCAGGTTACTCATGCTAGTTGAGTTTCTCATTTGGGACGCTTCACCTGAAGTGCATGTAGCCAAAGCATGCCATCTACTTGCCACTGATCCAATACCTTGGGCTCTGTGGGATATTTTTGCAGCAGCATTCAAGCAAAGGATCACCCCTACCACCTGAACAACTGAGGAGACCTGAAAACCGGAGGAGGAGAAGAGCGATGAAAAATTAACCTTGAATTCTGAAAGTAGAGCTTTTTAGACAAACCCCTCACTTCCAACAAAAAGTGAATCATGACAACTAGTGAAGTACAGGGAAATGCACATAAAGAAGTACATTGGATGTGCAAATGAAAAGTTGATTTACTCACATTCAAAAAAATAATTCATGAAGGAGTTGCTCTTAAAAATTCTCAAACAAAGTATGTAAATATTGGGAATTGACTAAATTAACCAACGGAATAACCACGATACATGGGAAATAATTGCATCTGGATCACTCGGAAACAACAACCAGATAACATCTGTCTATTAAAAGGAAGGAAAAAACTTACCGCAAAATCACCACCATTTATGTAAGTGATCAGCCCGGTATAACCAGTGGTCTGGAAGAGAGTCACAAAATGGCTCACAATGACAATTAAGAACTCCAGCAGAAGATAGATTCGAAATCTATGACTAATTTTGGAGAGATGATAGCGTAGACGAACGTGTTCTTGTATCAAAACAAAACATTCAGGCTCCCTTTCCAAGAGCTTCACATAGTCATCAAAGTGTATAATTTGCAATTTACAGACCAGGTGGAACAAAACACAAGCTGACAGGAAAATTGCCGTAATATAAGTCCATGATGAAATAAAAGCAAATGAAATAGCAGCCGATTTCCACCATGACTCATGATGCACGTACAAAATGCGAATTATTTCACGTGCAGTCTTCAAAAGGAAACATGGCAACACCCACAATACTAGCAAGCGAACAGAATCCTGCAAAACAAAATTTGGTAAATGTTTGAAGTCCTAAATATGACATGGGAATAAATTATTAATGAAAGTGGAGAAGTCCAAATTGAAAACCTGATTCATTCAGTACTTAGGCTTAGGATGATGACCAGGGTAGTGAGAGCTAACCTAAATTGCCTTCAAAAAAAAAAATTTTTTTGACAAGTAATCTAATTTGCCTTCATTACCTGATCTCTTTATTAGGTAGAGTAAATATACTACTTTCTCTCTTTTTCTTTTGATAAGTAAATGTGCTACTTTCTCTTCGGAATCTTATGTCAGGTAGCCCACCGACTTGGATAAAGAAAAGGAAGCATATATGAAACTGCTAGTGGGAAAGCTAAGAGTACTTACATTTCATCAAAACACCTAAGTTTAATGTTTGTTTGAAGATCGGAAAGGTTTGTTCGTCCATATTTTATGACAATGATCTCATGCACACGGAGGATGTGGTTACTAATCCATCAATATCAGCTGGTATGATGCACTCCTTTAAGCATTAACAGATCTCAACCACATCTTTCAAACATCTTCCCTCACTTTTGCTTTTCGTTTTCTAATATTCACATCCAAATTCCTTTATTATTCTACTGATGTTCCAGAGTGGAAGTCATCACAAAGCAATACCAACAATCTTTAAAGATGACAAGTTTCCAAACTTAATTCATATAATAGTGCTCCCGGGCAATATTACCAAAAATAGATCCACATAATCAACAAAAACAAGCACGTGGAAAGTGACGTCTACTGTAATAAGGAAATATGGCGTGACAGACTCAGATTGAGCAACCTACATACTTTTATCGCTTACATAACCTACCTCGCGAACTAAAATTTGTCCCATACATTACCTACCTCCCAAACTAATGGAAGAAGGTGTTAGATCACTTTCTAAAGCCCTTTTATTTAATGAATTAAGATGAGTAAATTAATCTGGTGGAAGGGGTCCATAAAAATTAAAATTTGCTTCTATTAAATCAGGAAGGAAGTAGCAAGATTAGCATACAATAATTACATAGATAAGAAGGTACTCACAGAGATTTTGTTAAGATATTGGTCACTAAAACGCTCCATATGGCCACTGTAGCGATCAACAAAGAGGAATTTCCGGATTCCATACTTGCGAAGGTTATGTGAAAGGCAAATCAAGGATGCAGCAGCAAGAAGAGCCTGAGAAGCCAAAATATCCAGCTCAAAGCTTTTGATTTGACCCTTTTCACATCCAGGACAATTAGAGAGCTCCAACATCACAACAGGAAGCACGACCCCAAATAACAAGAAGAAAATCCATGACAGCACAAACCTTACAACTGAAGACTGATTGAATCCCAACAAAGTGAGAAGTAAGTCTAACCTCATAAGGGTTTTATCTAAATTAGTTTCATCATGATCATGATCATGCCTACTTCCATTTCCATTTTCTTGAATTTCATTGTTTTGGGATTCAGTTCGCTCCTTTTCTACGGGTTTGGATTCTTCCACATGGACTATGAGGGTCTCATCCATTGACACAGAAAAACCTGAATTGGGATTAATCAAGATAGGTTCAACTAGATTGAAGTCAAACTCACAACACAGATCATTGCACCCATTTATTTAATCTGAAAATTGTTGAAAATGATGTGCTGGACAAGTTTTTAAGGTGAACAAGAACTACGTAAGACAGAGTAGGCTTTGTGGGTTTTCTTTTTTATTCAATTCTTGAATCTTGTTTTTTGGTAGAGTCTAGTAAAAGAAAAGTCTTGTTTTGTACAAGAAAAGGTATGACTTGGAAACATCAATTTGAAATATTTCTTTATTGGCGGAATAGACAGCCCCTTAAACTTATCCCCTTTTTTCATCTAGAGCCTTAAACTAACCTCATAACCCATTAGGCACTCCATCTTTACACAAAGTGTACCTATCAAACACAAGAAGCTAAAGTAGTACAGAAAGAAATATGCGTGTCGTTCAACCTTCAGTGACATGGCAAAAAACAAATGAAAAACCGACATCTGGCTCTTTTCACAAAAAACTTTGAAGCAATGTCCTTTTTAACGGTTAAGCATTAAAAAGGAGAAGCAATCCTGTATTTTTTTCCAACTCTATTCTCAAATTAGTTTATAGCTTATTCCGTTAGCTTATAATTTTTTTCTCTATCGTCATCTTTCCCACACAAAATTCTTTCCCTTTTTAAGACTTTGTTCTATTAGATCAGATTGAAGATTATCTCCGCCAGGATCGTCATGTGTTATTCACCAAATTATGATCAAGTTCTATAGATTCTAGCCAAAGTTTTTATCTTCTAACTCAATTAACAATACAGTGTTATGAATAGCAAACAACTAATTAAGAGAAACACTTTTGGGAGTTAATTTTTTGGGAATAAACCAACAAACCTCACATCACCAGCCGTAAAGAGAACAACAAGAATTTGTCAACAATTGTGAAAGTAAAACGAAAATTTAAAAGTGTGATGAGCTGAAATTTTTTCTTGTTAGTACATTGTATCTGTAAAATAATTCTGGAGAATATAAAATAACGTATAAACAGAAATGAAAAACAGAAACAGAATTTAATCAAAGCCCACTGAATTCACAGTGTTTCCTTAAGGAACTTAATCCCCTCCTAGTATCCAAGGTTGTGGAGCGGGATAGAACAAATTACACACTAGTGTGGTGGTTCTTCAAACCCTAGTGTTTCAGCAACACAATGATCGGTGGCAAATCACACTTACTGTTGCTTTCTTTCTAGGTAAAACAATGCAGAAGAAATGAGGAGTATTCAGAAATTCGTATGGAAAATCTAAGAGAATGGATAACTTATTTATAGCCCCAACCTGTTGAGTTCAAATGAAGAGAGGTCAGTCACGCAAAATGGTCATAACGTAAATGGCCATTTACGCAAATTAAAACTGGCAGAAATGTTTTCCGTTACAAAAAATGGACGGGCAGAGTCAATGAAACGGATAATTTGGATTTAATATTAATTTCCGTTACAAACACAGATATTTAATAATATTACATTAATATTTACTATTAATAAATAAATTTGGTCCAAAATATTAATCAACCAATCGATCATTTGACCAAATCCAAATTCAAATCCGAAGCCGAAGCCGAAGCCGAGCCGAGCGAGCGAGCGACGGCGCGAGTCTTGCCTTCTTCTTAACTCTTTAAGATCTAAAAGAAGAGCAATTGTATATATACCCATCAAAAACCTTTTCCTCTTTCAATATGGCACAATGTCCCATTGTCAAGGAGGAAAACTTAAAAATTTCATTTTCCCTCCATTTCCCATTCACCTTCTTTTAAGTTTATTTTAGCTTAAAAAACTCAACAGTCCCCCACATGAATGGGCAATGGCTATATCACGGAAATATGCATCAAAAACTATGTTATTCGCAAGCAAGGATTAATCACATTTGGATAAGTAGGTTTTCCTTTGAACTTTCCGTAGTGAACTTATGTCAGATATACTCGGTCAATCGGTAGATTGAAATCTTTGAACCGTCAAACTTTGGTGTATACCTAGACAACCATAAGTCACACAATCAACCCTTAATCGTCTTTGGTTCTCATTGTTGTGTTCGTTTCATCCATGAACATCGCCTGGTTTCATAAGTGCGTAGAGAACTGACCTTACAAAATTCTCCTTAGAGCGGCTAACACTTCACACTTACATAGGTGATTCTTAAACGTGTCATCCCATAGATACACTATTTGATATACCCCGTATCAAATTTAGAAATCATTAAAAAGTCTTAATGTTTTATCCTTGGTACTGAACATCGTCTCATCACGAGAATGGACCAAATTTTAGTTGACAATATTGAACCGTCATTAATGACTTTGTTTGATCTCCTTGAACCTAGATCTTGGGATCTCTAGTCTTCTAGGTAGAGTTACTACCACAATGACTTATTCTAGGTCATAGTCCCATTCCCCTCGATGATTTCTCAGCTACCTCTCTAGTTAGGCCTTTTGTAAGTGGATCCGACACATTATCACTTGACTTTACGTAGTCAATCGTGATAATTCCTCTAGAGAGTAGTTGCATAACGGTTTTATGTCTTCGTCCTATATGACGAGATTTGCCGTTATACATAACGCTCCCAGCCCTTCCAATTGCCGCTTGACTATCGCAATGTATGCATATTGGTGCCAAAGATTTAGGCCAAAATGGAATGTCTTCCAAGAAATTTCGAAGCCATTCAGCTTCCTCACCGGCTTTATCTAAGGCTATGAACTCAGCCTCCATTGTAAAGCGGGCAATACAAGTTTGTTTGGACGACTTCCAAGATATCGCTCCTCTACCAATAGTGAATACGTATTCACTTGTGGACTTAGAATCAGTTAAACCGGTGATCCAATTTGCATCACAGTATCCCTCAATCACCATAGGATATTTACTGTAGTGCAAAGCAAAGTCCTGGGTATGTTCTAAATATCCCAAAACTCGTTTCATTGCCATCCAATGAGATTGACCTGGATTGCTCGTGTATCGACTCAATTTACTTTAGCACAAGCTATATCTTGTCGTTTATAATTCATGATATACATTAAGCATCCCAACACACGAGCATAATCCAATTGTGATATGCTTTCGCCTTTGTTCTTTGCTAATGCAAAATTCACGTCAATTGGAGTCTTTGCAACTTTGAACCCTAAGTGCTTGAATTTTCCAAGTATTGTCTTAATATAATGAGATAGTGACAATGCCAGACCTTGAGGAGTCTTATGGATCTTAATCCTCAAAATTAAATCAGCAACTCCCAAGTCCTTTATATCAAACTTGCTAGCTCATTATCAGCATATCATCCAAATATAAGCAAACAATGACTATGTGATTTGGAACATTTTTAATGTACACATATTTATCACATTCATTTATCTTAAAACCATTTGACAATATTGTTTGGTCAAATTTCGCATGCCATTGTTTGGGTGCTTGTTTTAGTCCTTAAAGGGACTTAACAAGTCTATATACCTTCTTTTCTTTACCTGGAACCACAAACCCTTCAGGTTGTTCCATGTAGATTTCTTCCTCCAAATCTCCATTCAAGAAGGGCATCTGTGACGACCCGACCCGTCGTCTCATGTGTTACTGCTCCGTTTTCCCCATTTTATGCTTCTTCATGTTTCGTTATCGGTATGTGGTGTGTGAGAGTTGATTTGGATTGGCTTTGATAAGAAATGAGACACTTAGTCTCTTTAAGGAAGGCTTAAGTTGAAAAAGTTAACCGGATGTTGACTTATGAGTTATAGGGCTCGGATGTAATTTCCGGTGATTTGGTTAGCTTCGGGGGATGATTTGTGACTTAGGAGTGAGATCGGAATTGATTTTGGAGGTCCGGTGTAGAATTAGGATTGAATTGGCGAAGTTAGTATTTTGGCGGATTCCGGTTGATAGGTGAGATTTTGATCCGAGGGTCGGAATGGAATTCCGAGAGTTGTTGTAGCTTCGATATGTGATTTGTGATGTGTGTGCAAAATTTCAAGTCATTCGGACGCCGTTTGGTTGGGTTTTTGATCGAATGCGTGTTTCGAAAGTTTTTAAAGAACTTAGGCTTGAATCCGATGAGAATTGATGATTTTAGTGTTGTTAGATGTGTTTTGATGATTGGAACAAGTTTGGATAATGTTTTAAGACATGTACGTGCTTTTGGTTGGGGTCCCGGGAGCCTCGGGTGAGTTTCGGGGTGGTTTCGGACCATTTATAGGCCATTTTTAACTGCTGGTTTTTGGCTACAGCAGTGTTCTATGCGATCGCGGGGAATTGGTCGCGATCGCAGTGAGTAAAATGTGAGAAACGTGCCAATGAATCGCGATCGCGTGAAGCCTTCCGCGATCGCAGAGAAGAAATATTCTGTTGCGTTGATCCCACTTCGGAAGCTTATATCTCACAATCTATAAGGAATTTGGAGATGATCCAAAAATGAAAATTGTAGCCCTTTGTGTCTAGTTTTCAGAAATGTAAATTAATTGGAATTTAAAGTTGTGTACAAAAAGTTATGGTGGTTACACTATAGGCTGCCCGGGAAGGTCTCTAATACACAGGGATGATTTTGGAAGCTTATATCTCGCAATGTATAAGGAGTCACGAAATGAGCAACATATGAAATTATAGCCCTATGTGTCTAGTTTTCAGAACATCAAACCATTTGTAATTTGGAGTTGTGTGCAAAAAGTTATGACCACTATACTGGAGGCTGTCCGGAAGAGCTAGGAACTATTCATCGCGATCGCGAAGCATTGTCCGCGATCGCGAAGAGTAAATTTTGGGATGGAAAAATTGTTCTCCACGATCGCGAAGCATTTTCCGCGATCGTGAAGAGTAAATACCTGGGCAGAATGTTTTAAAACACGTCAGTCGCAATTTTGGGGTCATTTTACACCATAATTGCTCGTTTTTGGAGATTCTTGAAGGAGATTAACGAGGGATTCAAGGGGGAACGTTTGGAGGTAAGTTTCTTGGACTCAAAACTCGTTTTTATTGTGAAATCCATCTAGGAAATCATTGATTTTTGCTAAAATGGAGGAATAGGGCTTGGAATTTTCAAATTTTTAAATTGGGATTTGAAGGGTCAATTGTGGATGGATTTTGATGTTCTTAGTATGTATGAACTCGTGAGGAGATAAGGAATCCGGTGATGTGAATTTTGTAATTTTATGAGAAGTGGGCCCGGGGCTCGGGTTTTGCCAACTTCGTGATTTTCGTTGTTTTTCGAGTCCTTTGGATTGGGTTATGTTTCCATAGCATATTGTGATGTATTCGCTGTGATTTTTGGTTAGATTCGGCGTCGCTGTGGAGGCCGATTTGAGGGGCAAAGGCGTCGCGGGTTTGAGATCTCACCGGTTCGAGGTGA